TTAATAAATCCAGTTTTTTTATTTCTAAAATTATCCACAAAGAAGTATTTCAAATAATTCCCTTTAAAATTCATTGACAGGGGAAATTACCTCCGTTCAAGTTTCCACGTGAAATCAATCTAAATTTCCAGTTACATTTACCGTATTTACACGGATAAAAAGGGTTTTAATTTGATATGGTTAATTTACATTCATTTAATTTAGTTAAATGTATAGTTTGTTGGTTGTTGGTTGTCAACACTGAAAGTGTCAGTGACACTTAAAAATGTTGCAAAATCGCATGTTCCTTTACTTTCCCCGACTTTAAAAATAACATAAAGAACAAAAAATCTTTTTTTCTCCGGCATTTAACTTTAAACTCAATCACGAACACCTGAGTTAAAATAAAATACTCATGCAGATTCGGAAATGCAACTTCGTTCCGGTCCTTGGTTCACATATCAATCGACCTATCCGTAAAACAAGGATTTTTTGGTGTAGAATTATTTGACATGAGCGGACGCGAGTACCACGAATATATTGAAAACAGAAAATTATTTGCTTCCAACAAACAAAACATTGAAATATCTTCGTGGTTCTCGTGTCCGCTCCTCAGAGGTCCGCTCATAGTTAAAAATTTCTCAAACTGCATGCATGCCATGATGCGATCACTTCTGATTTTCATAAAAGCTACGTTTTAAGAGAGAGGTATTTAATAATTTTCACACACTGACAAAGAAAAATTACATTGACTTTGTGTAAGATGAGACACCATATCATTTTTTAAAAAATAATCATATTGCTTGGATTTTTCTTCATTCTAATTTCAATGAAAATAGGGGGCCAGTTGCAATAACTTATCATACCTATAATCCCTGTTAGTTTTTAAAAAGTTTGTGATAAGAAGGGCGGGGCCACCTAACCACCCCCCTTCCCTTTTCAGGACACCCATCCGTCTCAACACGCCTTGTCAGGGACGTAGCAAATAGTAAGTCTTAGGAAGGTTATTCAGAATAATATACACGACTGTTATGGGAAATGAACGACAATAAAATCTAAAAAAAATTGCAGGATTCCTTAGCTGCTACATAAATCACGGGAGACGTTATTGCATTAGTAGCATTAAAAGGGTATACGTTTCTCACTAGAATAGCCAACTGGGAGGGTAATAACAAATCATTCTGACACCCGTTATATTTCTAGTCCGAGGTTGCAGACGGGAGAAACAATGTGAACTTTGAACTAACGGCTGTTAATAACTGCGAGCACTCTCAGATCTGTACTTAGTATGCTTTTTTCGTTGGGACGTACAATTACTGGGCCACGTCCTCTCTATGTTTTTGTTAGATGTTTTTCTATGTGTATCCAACTCATGAGTTAAGCCTTTTTCAACTAGTGTTTATACTTTGTTCTTATGGTGTACTGTTACACCACTGTCCCCTGTTAAGGGGAGGGTTCGGCTCCCATCAAAATGTTTAACCCCGCCACATTCCGTATGTACCTGTCCCAAGTCAGAAGCCCGTAATTCAGTGGTTGTCGTTTGTCGTTGTGTTACTTATTTGTATTTAGTTCATTTTTTGGTACATGAATTAGGCCGCTAGTTTTTTTTTGGTTTGAATTGTTTTACATTTGTCATTTCGGGGCCTTTTAATAGCTGACTGTGCGGAATGGGCTTTGCTCATTGGTAAAGACCGTACGGTGACATATCGTTTTTAATTTCTGCGTCATGTGGTCTCTTGTGAAGAGTTGTCACATTGGCATTCATACCAAATCTTCTTTTTATATTGTATTGTTCCTTTCGGTTGCATTTTTTGGAAACTAGAGTCAATTCTGTATATTTGTAAATGTTTTAATTTTCAACAAGTAAAGTGAACAAAATTTTTAAAGCATGGGTGTATAACGCACACTCGTAAAGAAGAACAATATAATTTCCCCTAAAAACTAAAAATTTTATAGCATTTTTACATCAATCAATATCTAAAAATACCACATTTCCAATCCCAAATCAACAACCCGATGCACACATATTTACAGCGAAGCAGTCCACAGCTTTTTAGAAAGCTCAAACTTGTAATTTTCTTAATTTTCAAAGTGTATATCATTGATGCGTTTTGTTTTAATCTGTGTCAATAAAGCGTTTACCAGAACGTAATATGTGTTTGCACATAACGTAATAGGTGTTTGTACATAACGTAATTGGTGTTTGCACATAATGCAATAGGCATTTGGACATAACGTAATAGGTGTTTGCACATAATGTAATAGGTATTTGCACATAACGTAATAGATGTTTGCACATAATGAAATAGGTGTTAAACATCACGTAATAGGTGTTTGCACATAACGTTATAGGTGTTTTCACAAAATGTACTAGGTGTTTGCACATACCGTAATAGGTGTTTGCACATAACGTAAACGATGTTTGCGCAAAACGTATAAGTTGTTTGCACAAAACGTTATAAGTGTTTGCACATAATAGATAAGTTGTTTGAACATAAAATAAAAGGCATCTGTACATGACGTAATGAACGCTAACAGAGAGTATCAAATGTTCGGCAAAACGCATATGAACTATACCATGATGTATTATGTTTTTCACTGGAGATACATATGTATAAACACAACATAAAGCCATTAGACTATAATATAATGAAGTTTAATAGAACAAAGATGTATCAAAACAAAACGTTTAGAATATTCAGCATAAGAATCACATTTGAGACAGGACGCAAGTATTAACTGACTTACGTAGATGAAGAATAGACACAACATAGAGAAATTATGAAAGAATGTAAAGGTGGTTGATCATAAAGTTTGGAGGTATTCACAGAATATATAGTAGTTATAGCATAATGTAATGTCTATTGCACACAACAAAGTTTAGCAAAGACATATCATACAATTGATTGACCAAACAAATAATTAATCTGACGTAACACAGAGATGCAATGTCAGGAAATAAAGGCACATGTACATAACATAAAGTAGATATGACAGGACGTAAAGGCAAAGCGACAAAACACATTAAATATTTACACTATAAGACAGTTCCGGCGTTCCGTATGTTTGTTATACAAACAATGGTATTCACTCTTATCAAACGTTTATAAGTGCTACGATAGCCTTCAATAATTTGTAGATCATTCTTACCAGTGTCATAACATACAGTTGTCTTGTCATATTTACTCATATATTTCCTATGTGAACTAGTATCCATTAAACTTTCTAACACTGATGTCAATATTGAATGATTAACACCACAATTTCAGTGCACCAATTCAATGATTGATGAACTATAATTGCACGAACATGCACAGATGATGTGTGGCTGAATTAAGAGGGATTTGTATTCAGTAACTTTATAATAAGGATAAAAGTTGTTAACTCAAAATTGCAAGGATTACATTTTTGATGTAATGGCAGCATACATCAGTCCTGCGTATCATTATTTGCAGGCATGAGATAAATCATATTTTTACGGATCAGAACACCAAAAATTCTAGAATGTTTAGTTGATAGATACAAATCGTATGTTCTAAAAAAGAATTATGCTTGTAGGTTCGATACTATTAGATTATTGCAGTTTCTAAAAACAAAAAAACAAAAAAATATTGTATATTTCGGGGAAAACACGAAACTGAAGTTGCTATAGTGACATAACGAAGTCGGTGACCCTTAATTTCTTTTAATCATTTTTTGTTCCTTCACACAAAATGTAATGAAAAAATCACAGGTGGGACTGAATAGGCTTATCTTTTCACATACTTCAAGTATATTATATCAATATCAAGAAATGGTGTGGATGTGGTTTACAGAATAAAGAATAATGGATTAAAAATCAAAGAATAAAGAAAAATGGGACAAAAATAAGGAGAATAATAGGATATTTAAACATGAAAAAAATAGAGAATAATGGGCGAAAATAAAGAAAAGAGAAACTAGATGCTCTAAAGAGCCTGTGTCGCTCACCTTGGTCTATGTGCATATTAAACAAAGGACACAGATGGATTCATGACAAAATTGTGTTTTGGTGATGGTGATGTGTTTGTAGATTTTACTTTACTGAACATTCTTGCTGCTTACAATTGTCTCTATCTTTAATGAACTTGGCCCAGTAGTTTCAGAGGAAAATGTTTTGTAAAAAAATCATCTACTTATTTAAGGTTCATCATAACGTTTTGACTAATATGGCCGTATTTACACCACACATTTTACTCTGAGTACAGACAAACCTGTGCACCTGGAAAAGTTTTAAGGCATGGCAGGAACTAGTTGATTAAATTTTAAATAATTACATTAGATGTATGTTTCATTATAATACGTTATTTTGATTGGCAAATAGCATCTCGCGTCATTCTGGAATTAACATTCATTTCAAAATGATTGTAACATTCATGAGGAAACACATTTCCACGATAAAGTGCACAGGTAAATAAAGTGATACTTGGTAGTAATGATTTTTTCAAGATCATAGCGAAAAAAATGTAATATTCATTATAATATTGAATTATTCTTTTAGTAATTTCATAGGGTTGTAAAAGCGTTGACCGTGCACACATTTTTAGAATGAACCCACCCGGCACACAAAGTCATTTCAACGGTTGAAATGTGGTTGATATTTTTCCCCAGACGTTGCTTCAACGTTTGTTTAACGTTGTAATAGCAATGTCGGTCGAAGTTATGTTGCAGAAAGTTAGTTCTTTTTTCAACTTTGAATTTTAGTTGAATTTTTAATGTTGAAGTTAGGTTGAAGTAAATATTTTGTTTCAACGGTTAATATTGGTTGACATGTCGACAATGATGATTGTGGCCAAGTTTGCTTAACTTTGGCCCAGTAGTTTCAGAGGAGAAGATTTTTGTAAAAGTTAACGACGACGGACGACGACAGACGACGGACGACGGACGCCAAGTGATGAGAAAAGCTCACTTGGCCCTGTGGGCCAGGTGAGCTAAAAATGGCTAATATTTAAAGAATACAGAACGACCAGTCAGACCCTCATGGGATTTAAACTTCTTTGTTCAAACAATATTTAAACATGTCAGTCATCTGTGAAGGTAACTAATAAGGACATTTTATGTTTTGAAATATAACAGTAATGGGGAATTATTTAGTTGTTTTCCTACTGTCTGTATTTGTTTTGCTTGCTGCATTATATGTGCATAAAGTGGAACAAAATATAATCCAAATAAAAGACGAGTTACTGCAACATGGAAATGAAATAAAGAAAGTGAAGGAAGAATTCGAATCGAACAACAAGGCACTTGCACAATTGAAAGTAGAATTGAAATCGACGAAAAACGAAATTACACAAGTGAAAGTAGAATTGGAATCGACAAGCAAGGAACTTAAACAAGCGCAAGTAGAATTGGAATCGACTAAAAATGAACTTAAACAAGTGAAAGTAGAATTGGAATCGACTAAAAATGAACTCAAACAAGTGAAAGTAGTATTGGAATCGACGAGAAATGAACTTAAACAAGTGAAAGTAGAATTGGAATCGACGAGAAATGAACTTAAACAAGTGCAAGTAGAACTGGAATCGACGAGAAATGAACTTAAACTTGTGAAAGTAGAACTAGATACGACAAGAAATGAACTTAAACAAGTGAAAGTAGAACTAGATACGACAAGAAATGAACTTAAACATGTGAAAGTAGAATTGGATACTACGAAAGAGCAAATTAATACACTTCGTAAAGAAATGATAGAAAAAGACAATGCCCACAAGAAAGAAATAAATCAAATTACAGCAGACGTAAATGCGTTACGTGAAGAACAAAATAAGATTAAAACAGGTAAATAAACACAGTCGTGAGTATATTGCAGCTATATCATGATACTAGTATGGGCAAATGACCTTTTTTGAAGCGTAAATGTTCTATAAATTGAAGCGCAAACGTCCATAAAAAGTGCAAATGTCCTATGAAAAAGCGTAAACGTCCCGCGCCGACTAGTAAAGATTATCTAAATAATACCCTTTTTATGCGTAGGGGGCATCCATTTTAACAACATATTTTATGAGTTCTTGTAAAATCTATTGTAGTACCCAAAATGAACAATATATTTGCCGATTAGTGTTAAGAAAACATTCATATTCATAAACTTATCAGAATGTATAATGGCAATAAGAGAACGATTACCTAATCAACGATAGAGCGACCAGTAACCAGTGATTCAGTGGAGATGATTCCATTATTAAGTTAACCTTCGTGTGGAGATGGTTCCATTATTAAGTTATCCTTCGTGTGGAGACGGTTCTATTATTAAGTTATCCTTCGTGTGGAGATGGTTCCAATTTTAAGTTATCCTTCGTGTGGAGACGGTTCTATTATTAAGTTATCCTTCGTGTGGAGATGGTTCCATTATTAAGTTATCCTTCGTGTGGAGACGGTTCCATTATTAAGTTATCCTTCGTGTGGAGATGGTTCCATTATTAAGTTATTCTTGGTGTGGAGATGGTTCCATTATTAAGTTATCCTTCGTGTGGAGATGGTTCCATTATTAAGTTATCCTTCGTGTGAAGACGGTTCAATTATTAAGTTATCCTTCGTGTGGAGATGGTTCCATTATTAAGTTATTCTTGGTGTGGAGATGGTTCCATTATTAAGTTATCCTTCGTGTGGAGATGGTTCCATTATTAAGTTATTCTTGGTGTGGAGATGGTTTCATTATTAAGTTATTCTTGTTTAAGACTTACAGGGGTTATAACAGGTACTCCACTGCTTCTGTACTAACCTGTTTTACCCTTCAAGCGCAATGTTTTAATCAATAAATAACCTCATTGGTTGTGACCTCCTATTTTGTTCTAACGGTTTTATGTGTCTCAAATTTTTATTTATTTGGCCTTTCCGGTATTGTCAAGCGTTTTACGTGATCTTCGTCATGTCTTGCGAAATGAAGTGTCTTGTATGTCAGTATCATCTACTTATTTAAGGTTCATCATAACGTTTTGACTAATATGGCCGTATTTTCACCACACATTTTACTCTGAGTACAGACAAACCTGTGCACCTGGAAAAGTTTTAAGGCATGGCAGGAACTAGTTGATTAAATTTTAAATAATTACATTAGATGTATGTTTCATTGTAATACGTTATTTTGATTGGCAAATAGCAATCTTGCGTCATTCTTGAATTAACATTCATTTCAAAATGATTGTAACATTCACGAGGAAACACGATAAAATGCACAGGTAAAAAAAAAGTGACACTTGGTAGTAATCATTTTTTCATGATCATAGCGAAAAAAATGTAATATTTATTATAATATTGAATTATTCTTTTAGTAATTTCATAGGGTTGTAAAAGCGTTGACCGTGCACACATTTTTAGAATGAACCCACCCGGCACACAAAGTCATTTTAACGTTGAAATGTGGTTGATATTTTTCCCTGACGTTGCTTCAACGTTGTTTTAACGTTGTAATAGCAACGTCGAAGTTATGTTGCAGAAAGTTAGGTCTTTTTTAAACGTTGAATTTTAGTTGAACTTTTAATGTTGAAGTTAGGTTGAAGTAAATATGTTGTTTCAACGGTTAATGTTGGGTGACATGTCGACAATGGAGGTTTGTCGAGAAAACAGATTGTATGCATAGGTTTAAGAAAATATCAGCCATCGATGTTAAAGAGGAATAATTATGGTTGTACATCGTTTGTTGTTGCATCAACAAAAGTTCATAAATAAGGATTTTGCTATCGAAAATTGTAATCAATGTCGCCTTTTAAATTATTTTGTACAATATCTAGTAAAATCAGGAATATTTAAAAGAAATACAAGCTCAAAACGATGTCTAACCGGGACGTTTATCAAAATCGTAAAAAGTATACAAAAATATAAATTATCATTCATCGAAATAAAATACTAACTAATCTGTTATTATCCGGAAATATTTTAAACATAGATAAATCACAGCGTGTGAAAGTGCGGCATCTACACAGCTGATACACGAGGATTAGCACTCCCAATAATCTATTGCTAGAATTATCACTTGACATGATGCTGACAAATGTATGACCGAACGCGTGTGACCTCCATTTTTTTAAACGCGACAGCACTACAAAAGTCAAAAAGTCTGAAAAGACCAGTTTTTGTCTGAATTTGCATGAATTTTTACTCGACATTCTTAATTTGTCTAAATAATTTTTAAAAATTCTTGACATAGTATGAATTTGTCTAAGAAGGTTCTTGATTTTTCTTGACAAGTGTCTTGACAGTATGAACATTGTCTTAAAATTTCTCGACACTTCCTGTATCATCTGATAAGAGTCTGGATTAGTCTCTACCAATTCTTGACTGTCTTAAATTTGTCTCGATCTGTCTTGACATATTCTTGACATACTTAATAATGTCTGAATATGTCTCGACATATTCTTGACATTCTAAATAATGTCTGAATATGTCTCGACACATTCTTGACAGTCTTAAATATGTCTTGACACTATCTCAACAGTATAAATTTGGCCTTAAATGTGAACAGACTTATTCTGCACTGTTTATGACATTCGATTGCTGTTATTTACTCCTTTTTATTATGGCTAAACTAAACTTTGAAGAATCAAGGATCAATTTGGTATAGTAAGAGGTAAACGGACAGAAAGTCACAGGACAAAAAGTCACAGGACATAAAGTCACAAATTTGATAGGACAAAAAATCACAGGACAAAAAGTCACAAATAATTTGTTGACAATTGTTTGAATGTATAAGAGAAAGATCTTGAAATATTTTCTTTTTATTACATATATTCATTTTTAAGTTTAGGAAATTGTTCATAAGCCTTGATAAATGAAAATTTATTAAATTTTAATCATGCAAAGGATATATTTTTTGGCACAATGAAGCCATTTAAGTACCAAGCCACTTTAACATTTCGTTTCCATAGCAATTATTTGATCATTATTGATATGTATTGAATAAATTTTAATTACAAAGTTGCTTCATATATAATATGTCAAGAAAAAACAAAAATTTTATTTTTTAAATTATTGTTTTCTTGTTTAAAGAAAAATAATGTCAAAACTGAATTGTGACTTTTTGTCCTGTGACTTTTTGTCCGTGACTTTTTGTCTGTGACTTTTTGTCCTGTGACTTTCTGTCCTGCATTCTAGTAAGATACCCTTTTGGTGCAACTAAGTTGGAATACCCTCAATAATTCCCCATGTAGTTTAATTTTGATTTATTTTTATTAAACATTTAATTAATTGTTTTCACTTGGAATATAAGTCAAAGTTACTTAACAAACAGCATTTAGATTTTTGCCGTTCGCAAAACTGCCAGTCAAATTTGCTTTACTAAAATAGGTGTCTTATAGGCAGTTTTAAAATGTGACCATGTGTCTCTATTGGACCCCACAATTCATCTTTTGGGTTATGTGGATAAAAGAAGAGGTGGGGGGGGGGGCTTTCGTTTAGGTCAAAGAATTTGTTCCCATCTTGATTCAAAACCTTATTCATTTTTTAGAACAACCCAAAACATTTTTTATTCAAATTTAAGTGTTGAATTTTATAATTTTTTATCAAAAATAAATATTTGTGATAACTCCTTCCTGAAAAGAAAACGAATGTTTAGAACTATATTGTGCATGTCTGTTTGAGATCCATTTCATAACTGATATTAGACCAATGATTTCTATAGAACCCATTATAAATACATTTGTTTTTATTATTCCTGGAGTAGATGATAATTTTCTTTTAATCTTTGGGAATTATTCAATTTGTTTTTATGTTAAAATAATTAACTTCATAATTTTGATGAAAAAAATCCATTTTAATTCAATTTTTTTTCATCAAAATGATGATTTTCATTTTCATCCATCAACAAACGTTTTAAATTGTAGTGGCATGTTCGGTCAACTGATAAGTTGTATGGCTGATTACAGGTAAAGCAGTAATTTCTATTTGACAGTTGCGTGTACTCTTGGGTGTGGAATACCTTAATTTTATGGGGAACATCCTGTCCATGTGTAATACTTAATATATATATTCCAACAGATGACATTACACAAATTTTTCTTCTGTTAAATGAATGATTTGTATATCATCATAATTTGCTATTTATATAAACCACATTTTGGTATAATAATTATTTACCATATCAACATTGAATATTATGAATGTAGAATGAAATATGTCTACAGTATGATTGATCATTTAATTTATAAGATATAGGAATCAAAATTTGTAATTATTTAAAAATCCACATTCAAATTGTTTCATATCAACACACCCACATTTGAATTATTTTATACTTTAGATTTCATAGCCATATTGGCATTTGTAAAAAATATTTATATACCAAAATTTTCAATTATTTTGCATGCCCAACTTTTATTTTTGTTGTAAGAAGTGTAACTTGGAACAACAGTAATTATCATATAAAGAGAAATAAAGATTAAAGTTATATCATGAATATTGGTCATGATTTGTAAAACTCAGAACTGTCAAGTAAATTTAAGACACAATTCAAAATGTTCAGAATATGTCAAGCCATACTGAGAAAAAATAAGAATGTCGAGAATATGTCGAGAAATATCAAGACAGTATTCAAATGTCAAGAATTTGTCAAGAAATTTTAAGACCATATTCAGAATGTCGAGAATATGTCGAGTAAATTTCATGCAAATTTAATATAAATGAGAATTTGTCAAGAAAAATTAAGACACGAGTCATACTTTTGGAGAATGTCGAGTAAAAGTTCATGCAAATCAAGACAAAAACTGGTCTTTTCAGACTTTTAGACTTTTGTAGTGCAGCGATCATCAAGTGTGATACAAACACAGGAGATTGTACAATTTTCCTGAACAATATTTAGGAAATATAAGTGTTTCTTTTAATTATTATCCGTTGCTGTGTTGATTGTCTTTTAATACTTGAGTGATGTTAACATTGGGAGATAATGTAATGCACAAACGTGAAATGGTTTGAAAATCTCGCCATATTGCATGTTGTAGAGATAACATTACTGGCTTCAGTGTGTCTATCGTCTTTTTTGTTGTACGTTCCAATATGACTACACCTCTATATAATTATGTACTTTAATCTAGGAACAGCATACTCAGCCTACATGATCCTACATACAGTTTATTTTATTTCTTTACTGCTGATTTGTTACTGAAAGGGAACTTTTGCGAAGTAAGATTATCAACTCCCCCTTTTCTATCAAAAATTTTAATCCGTCATACACAATCACATTATTATAATTATTGTCAACTATGCTCTGAAATTTTTAATGATTTCTTTTTATTTTTCAATCGAATTTTACAAATTTGAAATATTGCATGGCGATGATGATCGATGTTATTCTTATTTGTTGTACAGGTATTAGGGACAGAGTTTCTGATTATGAGAAAAATGAAAAGGAAAGATTTAAGGATAAAGGTAATAGATGTCGAGGTACGTATTTTTTTTTTAATTTCTAACATTTTTAATTATCAATAATCAGTATGTATGTTAGATTGCATGTGTTGTTTGTGTGGATACTGTATGAACTTTGTGATTTGTGATGATTTATATGCTTTATATGGGCCCTTTAATTAGGAATAAAGACATTTGATTTGATTTGTATAGATATTTTTTTATGCATATCAAATTTAAAACATAAACTGCAATCAATAAGACTGGTGTCATTGTTACAATAGATACTGGTGCTCGAAATAGGTGGCATTTTATCAATAGATCCTGGTGCTCGAGATGGGTGGCATTGTTACAATAGATCCCGGTGCTCAAGATGGGTGGCATTGTAACAATAGATACTGGTGCTCGAGATTGGTGGCATTGTTACAATAGAACCCGGTGCTCAAGATGGGTGGCATTGTAACAATAGATCATGGTGCTCGAGATGGGTTGCATAGTTACAATAGATCCTGGTGCTCGTGATGGGTGACATTGTTACAATAGATCCTGGTGCTCGTAATAGTTGGCATTTGTACAAAAGATCCTGGTGCTCGAGATAGGTGGCAATTTATCCATAGATCCTGGTGCTCTAGATGGGTGGCATTGTTACAATAGATCCCGATGCTCAAGATGGGTAGCATTGTTACAATAGATCCTGGTACCCGTAATAGGCGGCATTGTTACAATAGATACTGGTGCTCAGGATGGGTTGCATTGTTACAATAGATCCTTGTTCACGGAATATGTGGCATTTGGTGAAAAAGATCCTGGTGCTCGAGATAGATGGCATTGCTACATGTACAGTAGCAAAAAATCGTAAAACGGATGCGCGTTTATGTAAAGCAGTAAATTAATTTAAAAAAAAACGGATTCATATACCATTGTACTCCCTGCCTTTGACGTTCTACGTAATTGTTAACTTATGTTTACATAATATTATTTGTGTTTTTTTCTTTCAGGAAGACACAAACATAACAGAAGCTGAATTAAAGAAGGAATATGCACCAGAAATGGTTAGAGGAGTTTAGAGACTACAATTCATTTTCACGAAAATATTAAAAATTAATTAAGAGTTTATTTGTATTCATTTACCAGATCACCTATTGGCTATATGAGCTTTTGTCATAATGTGACATCTGTTGTACTGGTTTTTTTGTTAAAGATCAAATCTTGCTGATGTCCTAGCTCTGTCAAGTCATGCGGCGTCAATATTTTTTTGTGGTTACTAAGTATTATAAATATCAGGAGATGTGGTATGATTGCCAATGAGACAAATATCCACCAGAGTCCATTGATGTGGAAGTCACTATACGGCCTTCAACAATACGCAAACACCACAACGTATTGTCCGCGATAGAAGACCCAGACACTATTTGTTTTAAACAATTCAAACGAGAAAAACTAACCGCCTATATATGTCATGACCAAATATTCAACCAAAAATCAACGTCTATACAATGTTGAAAATATTACGTTTTTTCAACGTCAGATATTCAAGGTTGTTCTAAATTTCAAAACCAACAGTTAATTCAACGTCTTTTCAACGTTGAAATGCTGCTGGAAAGCGCTTCCGCGCTCCATACAAAATGTCTTTCTATCAACCTTTTACATCCCAATGAATTTACAAAAAGAAGCATTCAATTTTTAAATGCATTTATGTTTCAGAAAATCATAAACTTTTCTAGAATTTGCAATTCATTTTTTTTTTCATTCCTGCAGAGGGTGCCAAAAACAAACTAAGTTGGGAAAGAGGTTTGCGAAGTTTCACTCATATAATACATGTTGTGAGTAGTATTGATTTAAATGGAGAATAGATGGACAGTAGACATCTGCAAATAGAGATTTACGGAAAGCCTTGGTTCCGACTGTTGACTCCGACTCTGACATAAAAAAATTACAGGGGTCATCTCAAAAGTTAATTAAACGGCGCACTTGATACATAAGGAGTCCATAAACGGATCATACTATCGCTCCAACGGCAATAAGAATCAAAATTTCAATCTAGAGTTTTTCGTAACAGCACATTTCAATCGGATATGTCGTCAAGCTTATACACATGTATATAAAGTCAGATACGTTATTTTGAGTGATTTACCTTCATCTATAATGCAATAGTTATATATAAATGTAAATAGTATATAAACTTATTGCAGTATGTCATCCCAATCTTTCCATCAAAAAGCTTTACACATTTAGAATATCAATATTTTCTAACAATGCTTAGATAAAATAATTGTGGTAAAGATATTTAGTATATTTCCTTTATCTAAATTACAAAAAATGAATTTTTACCAGAAACACAGTCTTCCATGTTGACGATATATGCCGATAACACGTTACTGACAGCTAGTTCAAAGCCATTCAACTAATCAGCAAAATCATGCATTAAAGACTAAAATATCAATCAGTACAAATCAAAACCAATGGATTTAGTGTAAAGACGTCATAAACAGTCACCTTGTGCATCCCAAGATACGGGTATCGACGGATTGTAGATTCATGAATGTGCATATGTATATAACGAAATGTTTAGTAATATATTAATTTACTGATAACAAAATCAATTTTAATACCATAATACCAATAAACCAATATTCAAAGATATAATTACAGTGTTGACTTGATAACCTTTGAGAATAAGTTTGTTTCGTTGTTTTCCTCTTATAGTTGATGTATTTACCTCAGTTTTAGTTTGTAACCCGGATTTGTTTTCTCTCAATCGATTTATGACTTCCGAACAGCGGTAAACTACTGTTGCCTTTATTTAAAGGATCGATAAGTTTATCCGGATCGTTGAATATTGAATAACAACTGTCATATTCCTGACATGGTTAAATGTGTCCTCCTATCACAATTTTTATCATTAAATGTAACATTTTTACAAGGATTTTACTGTTATCTTCAGTCCTTCAGTCCATAAGCTTTCATTTGATACTAAAAAGTAAAATAAAAAAAAATAATGAACACTGAGGAAAATTCAAAACGGAAAGTGCCTGATCAAATGGCAAAATCAATGATAAAACACATCAAACGAATGGACAACAACTGTCATATTCCTGACTTGGTACAGGCATTTAAAAATGTAGAAAATGGTGGATTGAACCTGGTTTTATAGCGCTAAACCGCTCACTTGTATGACAGTCGCATCAAATTCCGTTATATTTACAACGATGCGTGAACAAAACAGACATAATAGGTAAAATAGTCAAAATATGGGTACAGCAGTCATCACTGTTTCACAATCTCAAAACAAACAAATATTTAACAAAAAAGCACAAAAAGCATCTATCAAATTTAAAAACCACATTCATTGTTCGCGTGTTTCACGTTAGAAAATGTAAACGTCACATAGGAAGAAATATGAAATAATTTTGTCGTTCAAAGTATGTTCAAAAAAATTATAATTTCACATGGGGAATGGTGGTATACAGGGTTAAAAAATCAAAAGTTATGTTAGAAACAATCTCAGAAACAGACCGAGATCCAGAAGTTCTTTAGAATTTTTAAGAATCCACATATGGTTAATACCACTACGCGAGTAAAATAATTTTGTCGTTCAAAGTAAAACTACACAAATATATACCTTGTTGACAAAGGCGAAGTAACTAAAAAAACAAATATGTTCTACTTTCTTGTATGATCGTTTCCAGAATAACTGGTTCTATACCTATTTTTGAAAATCAAATTAACATTTTCATAATATTTAAAATCTAAATGTTAGCAAAATTTCTAAAATATAATAAAAGATATCAGTGTCAATTCACATCTGACGCTTTTCTTTTGAGATATAATTGAATATACGTACAAATGCATGATATTCAAATTGTTCAATTACAGTTCATTCCCGTTGCATATAAATATTTATATAATAACTAATCCAAGAATTTAAATATAGGTCAATAATCAACGCTTGACCAAACAACACATTAATTTATACGAATGCGACTGCGAATGAGTTTATTTTCAGTGCTGTTCGTTCAAGAGTTGAATATTTTTCTTGAATAAAAGAACAGAGTTCCAATATCCCCCGCGTTGCACTTATTACATTTCCAAGGGGCATAACTGTTTTCAAAACGTTGATCGTCCATCATTATAGGGGTGAAGGTTGGTGCCTGTTAAGACGTTTAAACCGATTGCATTTGTTTGCACATATCCTAAGCCAGGAAACAAAAAGCAGGTATAATATTCAACAACAAACTGCAACTACTGTATTCATGCTTCTGACTTGGAACACACACATACTGAATGCATCAGGGAAAAACACATTTTCCGGCGTATGACCCTCCCAAACTGGGACAGTGGTATAAAATCCGAACATAAGAAAACAAATATAAAAGTGATTTGAAAAGGTCTTTGCTCATCACAAAAGCAACTACGAAAACACGTAAGAAACACAGATCTGTTTGTTCTAGCAGTTACTGAAAGCTAGTTCAAAGCCAATAAGAACACTTATAAAAAAGAACATGATTCTAAGACCAAAATATTAGTTACTATTATGCATTTGGGACGGATGTTTCAAATACTGATTGATATTTGCCCCGCTTGTAGAAGATTTTAGTTAACTTTCATAAGGAGCAACCTCAATTATTTACAGGTTACCTAGACTTTACTCACGGTGTTTCCTTCATTATGCGACGTCGTTTTTTTTCTTTTTGACCGAATGATGTAAAAATTAAAACGACAGAACAATCCATTTTTATACCGATTATATATTGATTCTTTCTTTAATTATTAGAGAGAGAGACCGCCAAGAAAGAAAGGAATCCAGCATTTTACTGTATTTTTGCGTTCCGCTAAGAAAATGATTTCCTCTCACAAATAACTTTAAAAAAAAGAGTGTCTATGTTGAACGCATATAACCCACGACCATGAAATAACGGATACCACAGATAAAGTTAAGCCTGCATAATATCTTGACCGATATCTAAAAAAATACATTGAGGGTCGGTTGAGAGAAAAACTGTACGATAGACAAGTTGATTATAATTTCCCCTATTGTGAACATTTCATCAGCGCCTGAAAATGAAATATAAATCTCCGAGTTGATACGATATTCCAGAGCGTGCGTTGCCTATAATCATGTATTGAAAGAGGGTTGCTAATTACAATGAAGCTATTGAAAAAAAGGTTTCATGTGTTAAATTATTATCTCTAATGTTTTACGGATGCAATCGTCAGTTGATTGTCCGTTATGAAATATTTGTGTTACAAATGCCCTCGGACGTTATTCCAAATATGGTCACCACTATTCCGATCTTTTTTCTTAATTGTGGCATGACCAAGTCATTGGAGGGGTTCGTGGTGGTCATTCGTAATTGTCGATGTAGTGTTTTGTGGACTTGTTCGTCTTTTCGTTTTTTTAACTTAACAGTTTTTTATTACACATATGTTAAATTGCGCCCCCTTTTTTAAAATTATTTTTTAAAAAGGATATTGTCAAGATGACTGATTTTACATTTTTGACACATTGTTTTTTATTATTTTATTGACACACAATCCTATATGTCACTACCCAAGATTTTCCGTTATTATAAATTGTTTATTCCTAGCCCTCAGCACGATAAAGATACCATTATCATGAGATGCATTTCTAAGCACAGATATCGCATGGATACATCAGATGCCAAAGCTATTTTACTCTTCATCTCGTCACAGTACAGTTCATGAATAAATTCAGTACCGTTTATAAAATGAGAGCTGAGTTCATTTTACATGTAACATATATGTGTCTATTCCGAAGTTTTTAATCAATAAGAATCATCATTGGGATAATCGGCAACTACAGCAACTATGCATCTCATCCCCAGCTTCAAAATCGGGTCCCATTTGATTCTCATTTTCGTCATTAAATGAAATATTATTTTACGTTCCATTCATACGAAAATATAATTTGACAATTCGAATATTTGCTATTTATATTATTAACTAATATTTTTTGGTTTTATTCAACGCCTCAAGACATAAACATGCAACACTTTCAGTCAATATGAAATAAATAAACTTATAACATCACATTGCCAAATGTGCGAAATCGTTATTTACAAATGTCACGGCGTGGATCCAGAGATACTCAAT